AAATGGGCTTAATTCTGAGAAGCACTTACCATGAGAACTGAGTTATTGCAGCTGACTAAATGCTTTTTGAGTCTTTGATGTCTTGAAGTTACCTTTTTACTAGGAGAATCTTGAGCTTCAAGAACACAATCCATTTGGTATTGAATATTAATATTTTCTCCATTGGCTAATACATTATTTATAGGATATTTATAGTTAGCCATTTAATAATTAACATCATTACTCAGACCATAAAATAATAAGAGACTTGACAACTGACTTTGTTTTTTTATTGTTTATTCATTTATTCATATGTGTATACATTGTTTGGGCTATCTCTTCCTCCTCCCCAACCCCTCTCACTTCCAGGCAGAACCTGTTCTGCTCTTTTCTCCAATTTTGTTGAAGAGAAAACATAAGACATAATAAGAAAGACATAGCATTTTTGCTAGCTTGAGTTAAAGATAGCTATACAGAAAGAGTCCTAGCATTGCTTCCATGCACATGTGTATTACAACTTAAATTGGTTCATCTCTACCAGACCTCTTCACTACTTCCTGAAAAATGTTACTTAGTTTATTTTATTTTTTGGTGGGACTGGGGTTTGAACTCAGGGCTTCACACTTGCAAAGCAGGTGCTCTGCTACTTGAGCCATACCTCCTTTCCTTGACAACTGACTTTGAATAATTGTTACCCTATTCCATTTCAATCTGAATGAGGTAAATTTGATTGAAATTTAGAGGGCTAAAAATATGTGCCCTTAATTCTATGGTTTAGCCTTTCTACTTTTATGCCTTTTTAGCCAATTTTGTCTTATGGGTGACTTAAAGAGTAAGAATAGTTGGGGGCTTAATCCAGAGTTATTTCTTCACTATGTTGCCTTTGACTACTTCCATTTATTTCTGTACCTTATTACTGCACACAACTGCTGCTTTGGATAGACAAACATTCAATTGATTAATATCAAACTGTAAAGCATTATATGTTGCATAATATGTCAGAATTATATCAGGTTATAGAGAAAGGACCAAATTTAATTTTGGGAAATTATGACCATTTCATAGAGGAAATGGCATTCATTTAAGGTAGAACTAATAGGTGGAGTTTGATAGAGAGTGCAGTTGAATTTTCAATTTTGGAAAATTCAAGCTCTTTCTATACATAATTTGATGATTTAAATTTTTATTATTTAATACCTTCATAGTGCTTTTATAAACTGATTATATATAATATAACATTTATACTGAATGATAAGAGATACAAGATATAAGCATTATTAGCTGTTTTGGACGGAATAGGAAATTGACATTTAGACAGATTAAAGAGCTTTTCCCAAATCACATGGCAAATGATACAGCTAAAACACTAAGTCCAGGTGCCTCCAAGTATAGCAGTTTCCATTGAAAGAAATGAAAGAATGATATTCAAGTAGGATTATATGTCCCTGTGAAATAATTATTTATATTATTTTACTCAATAAAATTTGTGTCTTAAAATTACCTTATTTATTGCTGAAAACGGAAAATGTAGTTAAATCTCCAGTAGACATATATAAATCTAATGTTTTCTGAACTCTTTGTGGTAGCAAGAGCCTTAGTAAATGTGATACTTTTATTATGTATTTGATAGGACTAGAATTCATTCTATAGAATTTGAATAATAGAAGCAGCAGCATAGCATAATACTTAAAAGAATAGACTCTGGAGCCATACTGCTCAGATTTGTGTCCTTGTGTGCTACCTACCAGCTGGGTGACTGGATGAATTACTTAATCTCCCTGCTATGTGCTTCCTTATCTGAAAATGAAAGAATCTGTATGATAGAGCATTGCTACAGGTTGTAATGAGGCATATCCAGGTGATGTTTATGAACCACAGCTGTGCATGGCATGTAGCGGTCTCAACTGAGTAAAATGTGGGTCAAGATTGGCAGAGTTTTATAAAATGTACTTGCCCTGACTGTAAAACTGCACCTAACTCCAGAAAATGTTGTCTATTTCCCCCCAACAAAGTCATTTTCCTATTAGCTTTTTGAAAATATGATTTGAAAATTAGTGTATCACAAATAGTGTGCTTTTTTTTCACTTTAGTAGCTAGATTGTTATATAATGAAAAATTTTAATTAATTATGTTTTTCTTACTTGTTTGGATAGTACTTGTAAGCCACATGTGGATTTTAAGGCCTCTGTTTTTTTTTAGATCATTATGTGAGAGAATACATCATTTACAATAAATATGGCTATTTGCCTAGCATTTGCTAGAAATATTGTTTCATTGTCATATAATAGTTTTCTTGGCAATATTAGCATTTATTAAATGGATTTATTTCAAATTATACTGCATTTATATCACTAATATTTTGTATCAGTAGGATTTTAAATTTGATCATTAGCAACTTTTGTGAAAATATTTTGGCCAACCACTATGGTTCACACCTATTATCTCAGATACTGGGGAGGCAAATATCAAGAAGATATTGCCAGCATAGGCAAATCATTCCATCTCATGCAGGATGCTTAAGTAGGAGTATTATGGTTCAGGATAGCCCTAAGCAAAAATGTGAAACCATACTTGAACAAAAAGCAAAAAGGGTTGCAGCTGTGACTTAAGTGCTTGTCTAGCAAGTGTAAAGCCCTAGTTCAAGCCCCAGTATTACCAAAATAACAAAAACTTTCATATTTTATATTTCAAAACAGTGTTAAATTTGATCTGGGCCAGATGTGGTAGTGCATGCCGTAATCCTAGCATTATGGGGACTGAGGCATGAGGTTTACAAGTTCTAGTCCAGCCTGGACTACATAAGCAAGACAGTGTCTCAAAAACATTTTCTTTTTAGTGTGTATTTTAAACCAATTATTTAAGTTGGTAGAGATCTACAGTAAGATTAGGTAGTCATTTTCTTCTAACAACTGCTAAAATACAAGGCAAAGAAATCCAAATGGGTACAAAGTAAATTGATATGTGTGTTTAAAAATTAGGTAGTTGTTCTAAAACACTTAATTCTGAAATATACATGGTAGAGAGTTAAATATTCACTTCTCTTTATGCATCATTAATTTTATAACCCTCTTCCAAGGTAATTTCTCTCAAGGTTTTCTTTTTTATTCTTTTGAAATTTTTTATATATTGGTAGACAGATATGTATTTAACTTCAACACACTTTTAAAAAATTTTTGGATTATACTATGTATATGCAGGCCTTTTCACTTTATAAGGTACCAAAAGTATATTTTTGTTACATCTTTAACTGTATTTCATCTTTAAAGGTTGAATAATAATCATCAATTTATTTCTTTTTTGATGGTCAAGAAATTGTTTAGCATTTTCCTTGTCCTTCCCTTCTAGCTTTTCTTCCTCCTTTCTCCCTTCCTTCCTTTTTTCTATTATACTTAGTATTGTTGGTGCTGAACATCCTTCATAAATTGTACATGTGTAAGTGTTTTCATATGCTTTAGTATTTTTGTATAATTTGTTCATGGAAATAGGATTATTTTATAGAAGTCCATGCATGGTTAAATTTTGATAGATATAAGTCCCCCCAATGCAATTCCAGCCTGTAGACCATACCTGTTTATATTCTCATTATATGAACATTATCACAATAGATTTCTAGAATGACATATTTTATAGGCATACAAACTAACTCTTTAAAATGTCTGACAAAATAATAGGTGAAAAGGATGACTGATAGATACCTTTATTTTGTCTTTCTTTGTAAGGTTGAACATTTAATAACTAAGTTTACTGACAAAATCACATTTTCCTTTGAATTATCTGTGTATATTCTCTTCCATATTTTGTATTTCAACTCTGTTCTTCCAGTTGTTCAGATGTAAAATCTTGGAATCATCTTGCTTTTCTTTTCTCTCTTATGCACACCTAACCCATCAAAAAGTCCCGTTGTTACATGTTTGTAATGGATAGAGAATTTCACCACTTCTTGCAATTTCTTTTGCTGCCACCATCTCTCACAACTTGTTTTCCTGTTTCAACACTTCATTTGCATAGTCAATTTTCTGCGTAGCAGCTAAAGAAATTATTTTAGCTTATATGTGTAGGAATGCCATGAATATGTTCAGAATCCTTTAATTATGTCCCAGCTTTGTCAAAGTAAAAAAGCAGTCTCCTTACCAGGGCCTACATGAGCTCTGTATAATATGATCTTATTTGTAGCTCCAATGTCACCTCCTGCTTCTCTTAGCCCTGCTCAATCTGCTCAAGCCTTCCTTTCTTCTGTACCATTGCTTTAAAATCCCAGGCATACCCCTAACTCTGAACTTTTGTGTTTTTGTTTCACCTGCTTGTAATGCTTTTCCCCCCAAATATTTTTTCTAAACTTTTTTTTAACACACTTTCTGTTTCATTTCTGTTGTGCACAGCAGCATAGTCATTGGGATTATAAAAATGATAAATGTCCATGCTCCATTCCGCCTGTGTATTTTCAGTCTAGTATGAATGTATGCATACACAGACATACACACACATACTCAGTTGACAGGAGAAGGAGGAAATTGTGTGTGGATAAGGTAACTTGTTCTTATTGTGGTACTATGGTAGGACTTATTTTGGAGAGCTTCCTAGTTTATTCAAACTTAATTGGTAAGTCTTGAAAATCAAGATCTGATTTATTTTATGCTACTATAAAAATATATAAAATACATATAAATTATGTTTGTACTAACATTAGATTTATAAATATAAGTGAAACTCCTTTTTTTCTTTTGTACTGAGAATGAATAAGTTTACATCTTAATGATTTTTCAGAAAGTGAGTGCCTCCCTTTAATCAGAAGTAGAGCATTCCTGTCATTTCATAGGTCAGTTGCCTCATCAGTATTCTATTGAGTAGTTGCAAAAAAATTAGTAACTCTACAAGATAAAATGATCTAATGTGACATTATCTAATTTAGATGTTACGGTTTTAAACAAGAAAAAGAAATAATCTTGAAAATAATTTCTGTGTTGTTTTGTGAAATTATAAAGGAATGCTTCTGTTAAATAATTTCATTTTCTTATACTTAGAATCTAGGCCATTGTCAATACCTGTGAAAGCCATGTTGAATATGCCTGAAGGTTGCAGAAGTCCTGAAGAAAGAATGAAAGAATTTATTGGAATAGTATGGAATGCAGTGAAGAGTCTTACACTCCAGGTAAAATAAAAGTTTGACATTTTAAGGCTTTAACTTCTGGAGTATTTTTTTATTTTTAGCATTCTTAATATTGATAAATTTTTTTTCAGGAATATTACTCACACAGACTATCTCATTTCCAGAATTTAGTTGAAAACAGTTGGTGTGCTTTTCTTACAAAAAAAATTCTATGAAACACCTAAAATGTTCTGGAAAATTTTACAAATTTTGAAATGTTAGTAAATTTTGTTCTCATTTACTTTTACCTTTTTTTTTTAGTGCAATCTAGAAAAATTCTTTTTTTAGGATTGTGTTTTTATTTATTTATTATTGTACTAGGGGTACATTACTCACATTTACAGAATTTCTTACAATTTTTCAGGGTTGAATTCGCCCCTCCATCGTTCTTCTTTATTTTCCCTCCTCCTATTCCTGAAGTAGTTTCAACAGGTCTCAGTTTTCCATTTACATACACATGTAGAGAATATTTCTACCATTCTCACTGTCTTATACCCTCTTCCCACATCTTTCCCCCTCCTGCTGGTTCCCATTCTCCAGACAGAACCTGTTTTGCCTTCCTATTCTCTGTTTTTGTAAGAAAAAAAAAAATGGCATTTTTGTTTAAGATAGCGACACAGTGTTTCATGGTGACATCTCTATATAAAGATATAGACATATGTATGGAAATGTATATGTATATATAGATGTGTATAAATGTATATGTATATATAGATGTATATATATGTATATGTACATATTATAAGCCGAATTGGTTTATCCCCTCTATTTTCTCTTTTCTACCTTAGTCGCCTTCTTATGGTGATTTGAGCAGTTTTAAAAGTGCTATTTTCATACTTTTATAGGAAGTACATCAATCATATTCACCTTTTTAACTTCTATTACCTTTCATCTCCCGTATGTCACTTCCCCTTAGTGTGACCTGTTTTTCATAATATTGCTAGTATTTATATTGGGTATATATTCCACACATGAGAGAAAACATGAGGCCTTTGGTTTTCTGAGCCTGGTTAACTTCACTTTAAGATGATGTTTTCTAGTTCCATCCATTTACCTTAAAATGACACAACTTCATTCTTCTCAATGGCTGAATAAAATTCCATTGTGTTTAAATACCACATTTTCTTAATCCCATTCATCGGTAGTGGGGTATCCTGACTGTTTCCATACCTTAATTATTGTGAATAATGCTGCAAAAAACATGGGTGCGCAGGTGCCTTTATTGTAACTTGACTTACATTCCTTCTGTGTATCCCCAGTAGTGGTATTACTGAATCATGTGACAGTTCTGTTTTTAGCTTTTTGAGGAGCCTCCATACTGTTTTCTACTAATTTACATTCCCCCACTAGTGTATTAGAGTTCCTTTTTCCCCACATCCTACTCAACATTTGTTGTCTGTGCTTTAGATGATAGCCATTCAAGGCAGGGTGAGGTGGATTCTTAAGGTGGCTCTCATTTGCATTTCCTTGATGGCCAGGGATTTTAAATGCATATTATTTTATTTATTTGAATTACCTTCCTTACAGATCATATTTAAACTGATGAAAATATAAGCAATTAGATGTTTATCTGATGTCCCAGGAATTTGCTAAAAATAACTCAACAGTTATAAATTTTAGTTTTTTTATATTGTCTTCCCTCTTTGTAAAGTATGACTGATACCAGGAATTTTATGTGTACCAGCCAGTAATAACTAAGTAATAGAGTCTTCCCCTATTTAAGCAGTAGGTGGAAGTAGTTAAGTAGTTGTGACAGAAAGTTCCTCCCACCTCAAGAAGCTGGATGATCTACAGAATTAGTCATTTTAAACCCACAGAGAGAACAAAAGTTCCAAATTGACATTACTATAACAGCAGTATGCTAAAATCCAAAAAGTGAAAAGGAAGCCAAAGATCAAAGAATCTCTAAAAACTCTTAACAGGACAAATAAAATCAAGTTATCACAGTCACACTACTAAGGACCCAGTCATGAGGAGAATATCTTAAAATCAAGCAAAGATGAAATAATCTGTTAGCATACAATTCTTTATCTAGCAAAATGTTTTATCAAGAATGTTTGAAAAATAAATACATAAGACAGAACTTTTCTATGGAAGAACTTTACTACAAGATGTGCTGAAGTGAAGTCAAGCTAAAGGAAAGTTATACTAGTTGGGTTTTCAGGAAGTAATGAAGTAAAACAGGAAGAGTGATTGTGTTGGAAAATAACTAAATTTTGGCAAAAATATACATTATGCACCTTTTAGACTTTGACTTCTTTTCCTTTTATTTTCCAATTTAGCTTAACATTCAAACAGTATATGACAGAATAAAAGATTATAATCAAAATTCATTATTCATGTGGTATTGTACTCATTTATTCAGAACACATTTATGGAATTTCTCATCTATACTCAGATGAGTCCTTAGTCCTCTAGATATAAAAAAGTTTTTCTGCTAGCAAATCGAGTGAGTTTGGAAGTGTACTCTTCCCAAAGTGTGCATCTAGAGGAAAACACAGGTGACAAACTCCTTGACTACAGTTTCTTGAGCCTTTAATCTGAGATCCAGCCAAGCCATACTTAGATTCTGATCCACAGAGATTGCAAGATAGCAAATTTATGTTGTTTTAAGCTGTTATCTTTGTGGTAATTGGTATACCCCCATAGGAAGCTAATACACCAGAGATACAGACATCATAACTATACTATAATATATTTAGTACATTCTACTATAGTATTTTCTACTATTCTGTTATAGCTGTAATATAGTCAATTTCATAGTGAAAACTTACCCCATTGTAAATACTTTTAGTAATTATATCTCAGATCATCTCCAGTTGTATAGTGTCAGTCACTGTGTTTATTTGAAATATTATTTAATACAGGAGCCAAAACCTCGACTTTGATAATTCTTTACAGACTGAGGAGATTGCTCAAAAGAAAGGTTAAAGAAGAGTGAAAGGGGAATGTGTAGCTTGTCCTTTTTTTTCTGTTGTAATAACTCTTAGTTTACAGGAATATTAACTTTCCATAGGTATCAGCTAAGTCTCCCTGATCTCAGACAGCAGGAAGTCTTTTACTGTTTACATTATTCTAATAACTCCCCTGTTGCCTCTCCTGTCTTCCTTCCCTTCAGCTTTTTTTAATGCAGTGGTGACAAGAAATAGGAAATGAGATGACATGAATGTCAGAAACATTTGTTTAATTTACATTGTGATTATATGAGTAAAAAATACATAGTACTATATGAAGTGTTGCTGAATATTTATATTCATTGTTAGCTTTTCATATGTAGTGAAATATTGTTTCCTTATGATCTCTCATTGTATATTAATCCCCCTTATTACCTCTGCCATTATTTAAGGTAGAGCTCTTAGGTCAGATGTTTGTGCCCCTGATAGCTATGTGTATCTATTTACTTAATTACATGTAGTTTTTCTTTTGATAAAATTTATCCTCAGGAGAGACCCACTATTTGTAGGAATGGGAAAGGTCCATGTACAATTACTCCATTCTATGTCTCAGTTTAGTTATGCTCAATCTGTGTTCTTTTTTTAAATTAGCATATTATAGTTGAACGGGGGGATACATTGTGACATTTACATATGTGCTTACAGTACATTTAATTAGATTCACACCCTCTACCTTTTTCCTTCCCTCTTTCCCCCTTCTTAGAACAATTTCAACAGATTTTGTTTTACTTTCATACTTCCTCCATATAAAATACTTCCACTGTATTTGCCCTCCTTCACCCTTTTCTTATGCTCTCCTCCTTCCCACTAGAACCCACTCCCAGACAGAAACTGTTTTACCTTCCTATCTTTCATTTTTTAAAAAATCATTTTCATTAGTGTATGATAGTTATACAGGGAGTTTCATTGTAGTATATGTAGTATACTTCCATGTATACTGTATTGTATTCCTAATTTGTTCATCTCCTCCTATCTCATTCACACTTCAACAGATTTCAGTGTTCTGTGTTATATCTAGTATGTCATTGTAATTGAATAAATGTGAGCAGTCTGCTTGTTTACGTCTTGTGTTTCTTCACAGTATTTCACTGACCTGTGTGTGTTCCTCTAATTTCACTGATTTAATGTATTCTGTATGTATTAAATAAAATTCTTACTAAGGTGTTTTTTTTCTGGTTATTACTACCCAACATCTTCTTATATATTATTAATGATTCTCTAGCAATCATAATCTGTGGTGTATTTATTATTCCACATAAGGTAAATACCCGATAGATGAGGTAGTAGTTAAGAAAATGAGTAACTTCTACTTAGAGCACTTTTTTTACTGTAATAATTGTGTAAGTATAATGAAACTTACCTGATTATACTTCAATGTGAAGATCTAAATTATGATTTGACACAAATAATATTTAATGAAAGAAAGGAATAATATAAATATTATCAGATCATTCTCCAGTACTGTTAATTAAATATCATGTTTTTCTCTAGAATTTTCAGCCTCCTATATTTAGGAGTTAGTGATATTTTTGTTTCAATAAATTGGGACTATGACATGTAACAGTAAAGACAAACTTTGCATGTTTTCTGGGACTTATTTAGTGCATAATAAACTGGAGTAGAGAACTTCTCACTTTAATTGTGATTTCTAACCTGTTACAAAAATATTACTTTCTTGGGCTGGTGGAGTGGCTCAACTGGTAGAGTGCTTTTCTAGCAAGTACGAGGCCCTGAGTTCAAACCCCAGTACTGAAAAAAAAGATTATTTTCTTTTGACTGGGGGTGGTGGCTCATGCCTATGATCCTGGCTTCTCAGGAGGTGAAGATTGGGAATATTACTGTTCAGGCCAGTCAAAGACTTCTGGAGACCTCATCTCAATAAATAATAGCTGGGCATGGTGCCACACACTTGTCATTCCAGGTATACAGGAAGCATAAATAGGAGAATTGCAACCCAAGCTAGACAAGGCACAAATCGAAGACCTTATCTCAAAAATAACCAAAGTAGAAAGGGATGGGGGGGCTGGCTCAAGTGGTAAAGTGTCTAGTAAGTGTGAGGCCTTGAGTTCAAACTCCAGTGCTGCCCAAAATACTTACTTTCTTTTAACTCTTATCTATTGCATTTTATATCTTACAAGCACATGTTCCTTTTCCCAATATTCAGTTTTCCTACCATGGTCTAGTAAAAGTGCCTAGATACACAAATCAAACAGGCTTACATATTATCCATTCATATATATATATATATATATATGCGTGTATGTATTTGTGGTGTATATGAAGTTTATGTATTCTGCTATAGTGAACTCTGTACATCTCTTATTGCTTATATGCCTTTTAGAAAATAATGACTGAGCTTTTCTCAGTAGTAGACTTGGAATTGAAGAAGAATTGCTATAAGGCAATAAGCTACTAAATCTAGTCTCCTTAGCTTTCTGAAATTACATATATCCTTCCTGATAAACACTGTGTTTCAAAAACAAATACTGTCAAAATTTAAGTACCCCTGTATAATAAACATGTTGCCCTTTTAACACTCTAGCATACATTTACTTTTTAAAAAGGCCAGGTACCTAGTAATAACATCATAGGATAAATTCTTTCTCTGTATTCATTATTCCTTTCATTCATTCTTCCATTTAGCACTTAATTTTTGTTACGTGTCATGCTGGAGTTAAGGAGACAAAGTAAGTATAGTACTTCTTGTGGTCTTTCAGGAGAAGGCTAAGTGCCCCAAGATGGAAATATCTGATGCAGAACTCCTCTTGGAGGGATCCCCTAGAAAACTCTTATTACTCTAAAATGAAATGAGGATGTTAAGATAAATATGATGGCTACCTAGAGCATGTACTGCCTTGTTATTAGTGGTTGACTTTTTATCACTATGAGAAAATACTATGAGAAACATTGACATAACGGAGGAAAAATTATTTTGGATCATCTCTCAGAGGTTTTAGTCCATGACAAGCTGACTACATTGCTTTGGGGTGCATGGAACTGTATTACATCATAGTAGAATGGCATGACAGACTGAAGCTGCTCACCTCATGGCAGGTTAGCAGACAGAAGAATATGCTAGGGACAAAGTTACCCTTCCAAGGCACATATCCAGTTAGCCACTTCCTGCAGCTAGGCCCCACCTCCTAATAGTCCATTTGGCTCTTAATTCATGAATGGATTTTCCCATTGATGAGATTAGCACCCTCAGGATCCAGTGACATCTCAGTAGCACCACTAGCCCGGGACCAAGCCTTCAACAACACCTGAGCCTTTGGGAACATTTTATATCCAAATCATAGCAGATACTATCCCAGATGAGTAATGATTTGTAGAAGAACTAGGTGACAAATTTTTATGGTCTAGATTATGAGAGCTATCAAGAATAATTAGCTGTTTAAAGTTTATTTTAAATGCTATTTCGTGTTAGTAAAAAGGTGTATTAAAAGTAACTTCATTCTTTACTATCCATTCTATAATGAACTGAATATTTTGGTGTAATTATCCCATTTTGATATCATTTAAAGAATCTCAGCAAGAAGTTCAATTACCGGGAACAAGAACGATAGTATTAAGTAATGTGGTTATTTGACAGCTCTAGGAAAATATTCCAATTTAAGATTCTTAATGTAATAATAGAAGTCTTTATAAGCTAATCTGAAATTATATATATCAGTATTCTACAATGTCAGATATACTAGAAAATGTCTTCTTTTGTCTAGAATGAATTAACAGGGATCAGATTTACCTTGCTGCCTGAAATAGCAAAAAAAAAAAAAAAAAAAGGATAAAGTATATAAAATTAAGGTTTTAAAATACTAGGTAGTAAGCCAAGTTGAGCCCTGATCCCCGAGAAACTAAAAGTAAAATTAACAGAATTTAATAAGAAAGACACAGTCTATCTAAGCAACTAAAAGGACAGAATCTGTCTAAGAGGTCATCCATGTTCAGTTTTGGTGTTTGGGTAGATTGTGTGCCATTTAGTGAAAGGTTGCAGCATTTTAAGTTTAGAGGCAAATAGAGAGTTTGAATTCTACAATTATTTGAAATGCCTTTGAGATATTCCAGGTATCTGTTAGTAGACTATCATAGGTAGAATTGAGGAGCAGACTTATAGTAGACATATAATTTTGGGAGTCTCATAGATGGTTAAAGTCATCTTTAACCAAGATGTTACTTTGTATTAACAAAGTAATACAGGAGCCTGGGTAATTAAGAAAATATGTAAGTTCAAAAACAATGGGTCATTAAAAGTAGTCAGTAGAAGAGAAAGTGTGCTTGATGGAGATTATAAATTGCTATGATCAGAAGTGTAGAAGCAGAAGCTGTAGAGTTCTTGAGATCCCAGGGAGTGTAGAATTTCAAGGAGCCATGGTCGGTATTACCAAAATCTGGATATTAACTATAGACTTTCCTCTGTTTATCTGCAGTGTGAAGTGGATGAATTAACATTTAAGATTACTTAAATTCTCATACACTTGTAGTATTAATTTTTCTACTTTTTAGATATGGTCTCTCTGTGTAGTCTAAGCTGGCCTCAAATTCATAACTTCCTTGCCTCAGCCTCCCAAGAGCTGAGATTATAGGTATATATTACCACACTAGGCCTTTTGTTTGGTTTATAATGATTTACTGTCTTTATTAACTTCACCATCAATAATGATCTTAACCTTATGTGTCATGAATTAATTGTAAGTAGACATAGTAATGCTTCTTCTTTCTTTCTAATAAAATACATGCATGACATAAAATTTACTGTCCTTTTTGTACATGTTTAGTTTATTTTGAGGTTCCACATTTTGGGTAAGTGTGTTGGATATAAATTCACATATGATTATAGGAGCACTAAATGATACATCTTTGGATAGTATGTCTCATATATGACCTAGCTACTTTGCTTGCTTCACCTCAGTCATGGACCTGCTTTAAACTTATGTATATTTAAGCATTTTCCAATGTTAATGTATTTTGACAATTTTAAAAGATAAAATTAGACTCTGAATAAATAAACTAGCATTTTAAATTATGTGTTTTTTCAAAAAAGCAATATCTATTTTCTGAGATATTTTATAAAACAAAATGTGAAACAGAATTCCTTAAAGTTATCATCAAATAAAACAGAACATCATAACTTAAAGCCACCAAAGGATTACTCTTTTAGTGGAACTTTCAGCAAGTAAATGTATTTGGGATCAGAATTTCTGGAGAGTTGAGTTTGGAGTCAAAGTTGGTATTTGGTAAGCCCATGTTCATTTTTACTCACTATGGAAAAACTTACATTTCATAAAGACATTAACAGTAATTGCTATAACCTATTTATTTTTAGTGGGAAAACACAGCTTTCAAAGTTCATTATAATAAATTATTTTATAATAATACATGTTTTTTATGTGAAATTGGTTTTGGTGTCTTTTAAGAATAGGTTATCGTAAATTTACCTTTTGTTTGCAATTTTTCTTTATCTGCTCATCAGCAAAGACCTGTTCCATTTCAAAAAGTTACATGTTTATTCTGCAAGCACATGCTTTGCAATGGCATGCATTTGTAAAGTAGAAATGCTCTAGCCTGAAAGGAGAGCATTATCATTTTATTGCCAAACTCAGCCATTTTTGATTATAGACATTGAAGTTCATATTGCTATCCTCCAGTACTTCTGTGTATTTTGGTTTTGGTTTTTAGTGGTCTCTGTACTCTCCAATAATTCTGTTATTCCTTTGGGGAATAACTTCCCATGTTTTGTGTGGTTTTGCTAAGAATATCAAGCAAGGTGTCCCAAGTAAAGCACCATAAGTCAGTTAAGTTAGGCCAGTTGAATTTTTTCCTAGGAAATGCCATCTGGAGCATGACCAGTGATGAAATAATATTCCTTGATGTCCATGAACTCTCTGGCTTCTCTTCAGGATTATGTAGGAATAGATACTTCAAGCCAGACAGATGAAGTATCAGTAAGTCTTCAAATATTTACTACGAGCAGTTTTGCTCTGAGGCTCACATTCATATTTATTGGGATCAAACAGTGACAATCATTGTAGATTTATAAGGAGGAAGTCTGGAACACAGATCTAGGAAGTTTCTCATGATTTCCCTTGAGAAACTCTTATGGAAAAAGTGTTGATTTATAGTACTATGGAAAGCAAGATAACTAAGGTTCACTTTTGAGGTTTTTTTTTAAACTTAAGATTTCAAATTGAGTATATTTAGATTTCATACACAAAATATTACCATGATAGTTGAGAATTTATGAAATAAGAAAACCAAACTGGGTTATAGTTTTATATATTTTTGTGGTATAAATGGGGTACTGTGTATTTTGATATCCCCTAAATACATAGGGAAGCCCAGCGTTTTTAAATAAATGCACCATGAACATCTTTTATAAATCTATGAAAGCCAGTACATACATGGGTCTGCCAAATAGTAGATGCTTAGTGTTTTATTCATTAACTTTATTTAGCAAATGTGTAGGTGGCATTTGTTATATTAAATCTTTATATCAATGTTATTTTTTCCTCCTATTTACAGATGAGGAAACTGAGGTCATGGAGACTTAAATAAGTTGTCATAAGTCCCACAGCTGGAGTTAGACCTATCTGATGGATAAGTCAGTTTTGTTAATCACCCTATTAGACCTCCTTGGTGGAATGAAATTTTGAACATTATGCATGAAGTTATTATTTTAATACCTGATGATAATAAAAATAATCTTGTTTACTTTTAAACAATTATTTACTGAATACCAAGTAAATGCTAGGCACTGCATCATGTAGTACAGAGTAGAAAATATAAGCAAAGTTTTCAACTTTAGAGAACTTATATTCTAGTGAGAATTCTTTATTGACATGAATATTGGAAAATACTATTATTTTAAGCTTTTTAATGGCTGAACTTTGTCTTTTGTCCCCGTGTTCCTAATTTCCAGATCAGTTCATGGTAAATATTAAAGAATGCATGAATAAAAGAAAAATTAATTTTTAATTTCAAATGTTTTCCTCAAGGATAAAATGTATTTCATATTTTTAATTTCAAATGTTTTCCTCAAGAATAAAATATATTTCATATAGAGAATATCTTACTCTATACAGATCTTACAATATATTATTGCAAAAGTTTCAAGTTTTATATAAAGAGGAATATGTTGTTTGGGAATGGGAAATAGTAATGTCATTAGGGGCAGAAATATGGCACATTTGTGAACACTTGTATAAGAAGTGTCTGATATGAAGGCCAGTGGCTAAGATTTTTAAATTAATGTATAAATGAAACTTACCCTCTCCTCTTTTGAACTGAGTTGAAATCACATAAATCAGAAAAATCTAAATTGATAAAAAACAATGGCATAGATCTTTTCAAAAGGCACATAAACTTGAAACTTCAGAAAAATGTATTGCAGTTGTTTCATTTATTAAAGTAATAATACCAAATAATTTTTACTTCATTAGTTTATCCTCAGCATATGATACTTAGATATGTAGCCCTTGACCTCATAGGAATCAAAATAGAGGTGGTTCTACTTCAAGAATTTTTAATAATCCCTTCACTTTAACACATGAATGTGTTCAATATTGGCAAAAAAACACGTTGCTACCAAAACTGAAACAGGATCCTTGAAACAGAAAGGATGTTGCCATGGAAAAATGAAGTAACACTCAGCGCAGCTGTGATGCATTAATGAATAGGATATATTTTTTTTTAAAGATCATTCGTGTTTGGTGTGGCTCAGCGGGTCCCAACCAGATGGTTTCCATGAACATGATCTGACCCCTGGCTTCACGACGTTTTACTGGCAGATTACTTCATTTTCTTTCCTTTGGATTGTCAGATCCTTACATTAATGCAAAATTTACTGCTGCAAATTTATATTCAGTAATATAAATCATTTAATATTTTACATTAAAACCACAATTTTAGACATCTAGTTTAACATTTACTTAAAAAGTGTAAAAAGATTTATGTGATAGTTTCAGTGTATATAACATCTAACTTTATAATAATTTTGAGTAATTTGGATTATGTTTGTTTTCTTATCATTAAAGGACTTCTCACAACATTTATCAAATTTTAGAGAGTTTATCTTTTAGAGTTGTACATTTCAGGCCAATGTACTGTTGATTCTGCATGCATTTCTGAGAGTGTTTAAATGTGATTAAATAATTGAGTTTTGAATTAGTGGAATTTGGAATGTTTGAAGATTTTGCGAATTTGGGCACAATTAAAATTTGTGTCTAAGGTTAAATATGTATGTGTTTGCATATGGTAGTGTATTAAATTAATCACTTTACATGGTTGAGAATGTTTTTCATCAGAACATCAATGCTTACATGAAATGTTCATAATCTGGCCCTTTTACCTGGATTAATAGAGAATATACACTTGCTGGGTCATTTAAAATTTTGTAACTAAACATTAGCGTGAGTTAAAATATTTTAAAACATTATTATATTTGTAAGACAATATAGGTTTACTTCTGTTTCAGAATAGATAAAATATGTTGTGATCTTAAACTAATCAACTATTTAATATATACATACTTAGCTTCCGTAAGGTGTAAGATAAAATTCTAGGACAAAAATAAGTGAACTTGTAATTCGTGAACCAATGCATTTATTTTTGCAAAAATTTTCCTGTAGTTTTTTCCACTAAAGTCAGCAGCTTGTACCCAAAAATGTGAAGCAAACACAAATAGGTGTGTTTATTCGTAGGTAGATGAATATTTATCATATCATCGAATTCCAAAGATGTTACATCTCATTAAGCTGTCACTAAGAATATATTAACCTGAAAAGAAGGGATTACTATATCCTTAGTTATCTTTTACAAAATATAACCATTGCTAATATAATTACCTAGAATATTCGGGAATTTATTAAGCAATAGTTTTATTAAAGCTTTGAATAACATCTTTTGTGCCCAATATTTTATAGAAAGTTAACAAATCATAGTTTATATATGTTTAACAAGTAATTTAAGTGCGCGACACTGTTGGGGCAATTTAGTAACAATACACATAATATTATTTTGTAAGAGCCAACTGAGAACAACAGAATTTAATATATATTGCTTCACAATGAATTGAGTTTAGGGTTTGGACTTAGTTAATCTTAACTTTGTAAGGACCTGGGAACTTAAACAACCATACTTAACTGATTTTTAAGAGGAGCTTAAACATTTTACATAAAATCACAAGTTAGATAATAAATTGAAAAAATCAGGAAATAGCATTCTGATTTTGAAGACTTCTGATTTTTCTTATTACCATATATCTGCTTATATATAATAAATACTATATATATATAGTGTGTATATATATATATATATATATATATATATACATATGTATATATTTGAAAGTATGTAAAATGAAAGTATGTGATATTAACACATTCCTCAATGGTTGTCTAGTGCTAGGGACTGAACATTTTAAGCATTTTTTCTTGTATGTTATTCTGTAAAATAAAATGTAAGGGAAAAATAAATGTAGAAATACCTTTTTTTTTAAATGTAAAAGCAGCTCTAAGGATTTATTTGGTTGGTCTCAACAAGTTTAATGAACTGCAAAAGAAGCAAGATTTTTCTCACGTTTTATGCTACCACACTTTCTAACTTAATCATGTTTCTTGGAAAGAACTGTAGAAGGGCAAATATATTTTCATCTCATGTCACTGAGTGCTTTTGATCAAGTTTATTGCATGAAAAATGTCTATTGAAGTGTTTTTGATTTTGCTAGTAAAAGTAACTCATAAAGACGTATATAAGACATGTTTTCATTTTTTGGCTTTACTGTTTATTCTGATGAAGATAGTACATTTTCAAAAATGTGTTTAATCTGTCCCAACTATTTTAATTCTGCTTTTCTTTTCTAGCTTGAAGTACAGTGTTGTTGTGTGTTCATTCCCAATGATAGCCTGCCTTCTCCAAGTACAATTGTATCTGGTGACATTCCTGGAACAGTAAGAAGTTGGTACCATAGTCAAACCAGCATACCAGGAACAGTTGTCCTCTGTTTGCCACAAATAAAGATTATTAGTGCTGGTCACAAGTACATGGAACCTCTGCAGGAAATTCCTTTTGTCATCCCAAAACCCATCCTTGAGGAAGGTACATTAAAATTATTTTTCCTATGATTAATATTCTGATGTTTTTTATATATGCCCATATACATGTAAATCATTTCTCACTGAAAGATTTTCATGACCAAATAAATGAGCGGATAAAATTTATTGCTATCCATGACTTTTAAACAGTCATGGTTTCATCTATACAAACTATATAAAATATCATATGCAATGTAATATAATTACTAAAATTAAATGCAGGAAAAATTAACTTGAGAATAAAGTTGGTTTTGGATGATTTCAGGAGGCTGATATAAGAATGATAAAATTCATTCTTAATTGAAGCCATTTGAGTTATGAATGAATATATATAAATAATATGAAAATATTTACATCAAGCAAAATAGCTTTTAGACTTACTTATTTGCACAAAATAAATAATTGTCCGATGATTAGAGCCATAGTTCTTTTTCCAGTAGGTACTTGATTTCTTATATTGCAGTACTTTCAGTCACAAATTCATACCCTTTTGAACTTTGACATATTCATTTCAAACAAAATATGGATCTGGAAAAGTTTTGACTCAAAAAGTAAATGTGAATCCATATTTTAATAACAAGTTTCAAATTTTCAACCGTGCTAAATAGGTCAACACCTTGTTCATATTATTAGGATGTAAGTATATAAATGCTGATATTCAGATTACTATACATTCTGTCACAGGAAAGCAAATAGCCTGTGCGATTTTTTTATTCCAACTTTGATGTCCATTTCCCTTTGAAATTTCCATTGAAAGGCAGTTTTCTTGTAAGGGGTAAGCAGGATTTCAATTCCAGATATTAATGCTGGCGATTAAGAATATGAATATCGTTATAATAAAATCAGAATTATAATGAACAGAGGAGATGCTTTAAAAGTTCTTATGTAATCTTTGTCTTGATGTAAGGTAGCATTTTTGACATACTCATTGTTTATTACTTTTGGTTATTAAGAATTCTTTATTACAACACCTACTGTATAACATTCAAAGCTATGTTCATCTTATAAAGTGAGTTATGGACTGCTACCTACATTTTTAAAGTCTGGAATAATTTTGGTAAGAATAAAATGACTTGTTCCTGCATTTATTTTAATTAAATCTCATTAATCTTCATGTAACAGCTTTTAAAACTGTATTTCACATGTCCCAAAATTCTAAAGTGTGCAATTCATTGATCTTTAGTGTACATACAGTTTTATACAACCATTACCACTGTGGAATTTTAGAACAGTTGCATATCCTATGAAAGAAGCACATTAGCAGTTACTCTCCAATCCTCTTCTCTCTGGTGCCTGGCAGTCACTAAACTGTTTTTTGTCTCCATGAATTTACTATTTTAGACATTTTATGTAAATGGAATCATTGAGTTTATGGTCTTTTTGACAGTTTTTTTTAAAATATACCATGTTTATCTTATAACATGTTCTAACATTTTTTCATTCTTTTTTCCCTTTGTATCAAAGTATTTTTATTAGCATATTCTAATTGTACAAAGCAGATTCATTGTGATATTTATGAATATGCTTACATGGCACAGTGCTTAGGTTCAGCCTCACTATCTCTCCCTCATCTCCTTCCACCATATTTAAAACAATTGGAAAAGGCTTCATTGTTCTATTTCATATGTGCATATAATGTACATCAAATATATTTACCCCCCTTTATCCCCTCTATTTACCTTCCCCTCTCCCACAAGTATCTCACATGACCTATTTTACAGTCCTGTCTTTCATTTTCCATTCCAAAGTCAGTTTTCAAAGGGATTTCTTGATGTATTTCAGCTGTGAATATACTTTACTTAGGTCAGTTTCACCCCCTTTATTACTCTTCCTTACCCTTTCCTTCCCACCCCTATTATTCAACAGCTTTCAGTACATATCATTATCCCATCTACCTGTACAGATGCAATCTATTTGAATATTGTCGACTTTCTGTCATTCTCTTTTCCTTTCCCTTCTCCCCCAAGTTCCATAGAATAGTCCCACTATTGCCTACATGTTCTATATAAATATGTATACGTGATAATGTTTGTATTTGTGTATTTATTTATTTTTTTGAATCTATGTTCCACACAGGAGAGAAAATAGGCAACCTTTGTCCTTCTGAACTTGGCCTGCTTCACTTAACAGGATGTCCTCCAGTTCCATCTATTTTCCTGAAAATAACATAATTTCATTATTCTTTGAGTAGTACTCCATTGTACAAACTTTGTTTTTTTTTTTTTTCTTTTTGTTGTCATCTTGCTCCTCTTCTAACTCCTGGAAAATTACTTTTATCCATATTTTTGGCATTGTTGGGTTTTTATACTGAAGTCTTCAACTGAAATTATAATTCTTTGAAAACAGTTTCTTAGGATTCCTGATGGAATGAACTATAAAGAATAATTATCCTATATAACTAAGGTTGTGTATTTAAAACTTTTTGTTTTTGTAGAAATATTTTGGGAATATTGTGTATATTTCTCTGAGTTAACCAAAAATATACCACAAAATTTAATCATTTAAAAAATTACTGAGGATTATTATTATGAATGCAACCAGAGTGAGTACAATACAATGAGACCTTTTTATTCCTGCATTCAAACTTTGTCATTGTCCTGAGACATCTTAAAAAAGACTTAAAATTTGATTCTAGAAAGCCTTCACACATAATATACATCTTCATAGATGAAGGGGTTGCTGGGTATAGAATTCTAAAGATGCCTTTTTCTTATTTTTTTAATTCCTAAGACATGGACTGATAGTTTCTTCAACTGTCTCTCCTCTGTATTCTGACCAAGACTTCAGCCTCTGTTTATCTTCCTGCTTGCCCCCATATCGTTCCCATTTATTCAGCAAATGTTATTGAGCACCTGTTATGTCGTAAATAAAGAGAGAGATTTGAACAGGAAAGATAGGGTGCCTCCTTTCTGATACTTTATAAGCTTTTGAATAAATAGCCCTGGGTTGAATTGTGTTTATCACTTTCCACTTGGTATCTTTTTCAAAGTGCTGTAGGGATTAAAGGAAGTAAAATAGTATCAATCTCATGGTATGTGTTCAGTAATAGCCATTATAGTTGTTTATACCCAAAAAGGATTTCTAAGTTCCAGTACTTGGTTTCCAGTCTCTGATGTTTCCTGGAAATGTTTTCCTTTCTTGATTGCTTCTGTTGCAAGGTTCCTGGACTGCTGGAGGAACCCTTATCTCTGTAATAGACAGAAATTCTTCACTACTCTTAGTTCACTTGTAGGATCTCCTCACATCAAAGAGCAAAGTAGAGTTTGCTGAAGTTGTGCTGCTATAGGAAAGAAGTAGCACTGATATCCTTCATATCAAATAGTTTTTAAATATACTATTAGTTTCCTAGACATTTTCATACTTTAGAATTCTTAGTATTTCTGCTGCCAGAGATTTCTTTCTTTGACTCTTTTCTGTCTTTAACCTCCTGATCAAAGTAATTTCGAATTATTCTTCCTTTGTCATATAGGGTAATTTACTTTTAATGGCAGAAATACTTTTCATGACTTCCTATCAATTTTAAGGTAAATGTTAAAATCCTCTACATGACCGACAAGATCCTGTGTGAGTTGGTCCTACCCCCTCCTCTAGACTTACTTTTTGCCACTCTCCCTGTTCCATGTTACTTCCTAATGAAGCCCAGTAGCTAGAAAAGTATCTTTGGACTAGCATAGCCCTGTCCTATCAGACAGTATTAGCACACTTACAAACATGCTTCCAGCCTTCTTGATCTCTTTTCTAGGCTTCCTCATTCTCATCCTTCACTCTTCAGGATATTTTATTGATCACGTTCCTCAGTTCTTTGCTTTTTTTTACACTCCACTCATCACTTTCACAACCTTTAATTTTGTTCAGCATCCATTTAGGAGGGTGGAGAGAACAGTGGCTGTATCTATCTTGTTCATTGCTCTCTCCCTATTATCCATCCTCCATGTAGCACAATAAGGAGGTCAGTATTACTTGTAGACCTCATGAGGTAAATAGCTTTTTGGTAACTGTAAGTAGAAAAATATTTAAAAATTAAAAGATTAACTTCTAACTTTTTTCATTTTATTTTTATTTATTTATTTTACATTTTTAAATGATCATTTTATTGTTGTACTGGTAATACACTGTGACACTTAGAGAAGTTCTTACAATATATCATAGTTGAATTCACCGCCACCATCATTCTCCTTTATTTCCTTCTTCCCTTACTCTTGGAATAGTTTTGACAGGTCTCATCTTTCCATTTTTGTACATGAGTATATAATATTTCTACCACACTCACCCTCCAACACCCTTTCCTTATATTCTAACTTGTTTTAATGGACATATAATAGAAAAAGGATTCGTTATTATTAAGAAATAAAGAAAAAGATTTTTAATAGGATAAGCAAGAAGAGTTTGAGGCTCCTTCCATACTAAACTTGGATTTCTAAAGTTCAGAATGAGAGACTGTTGAAATGTCATCTGATTTCAATTGCCATGGAAAGAGAGATGATCTCCACTATAGCCAGATCCAATCTGTGTAGGGTGTTTGGGTCAAAATCAACATCCTGGGTTTTATTAGGGAGCATTTGCAGTGAGCCTTGTGGATGTAATTTGGTACATCCAGCCAACATCTCTGAGCAGATGGGTTTCTACACTGTGTCCACCAGAGGTTTGTTTTTTCTTCTTTGAAAGAGTTGCCTGTGATGTTAATAAAATATTTTGACAGAAATGGAATATTTAGGTCATTTGTAAATTAAAACTTTACTATTGTTGGATTTAGTGAGTTTCAGTAGAAACTGATGTCAAAGTTATTCAGCATCCATGAAAAACATGAGAGCTACTTTTCTGTGTAGTTGTTATTTACATTAATGGTTTATATGTATTCCATTTTAGGTTTTTTAAATCCTAGTTTCATAGCTATGGTTTCCACTCATTCTGAAAGATGGTGATATTTTATGACAGTGCTTTGTTTTTGTTTTTCCAGGTTCACTCACTTTGACTTAATCCTTAAAGCATGTATATAATTAGGACTCTTTGGGGAGAAGAGGAAGCTAAGAAAGTAACTTAATTTCTTTATGATGATCACATTTTTAAAATGTTCATGTATGTCTTACGA